AAAAGAACAGGAACATCAAAAATTAACATAGAATATACTTCTAGTCCACTAAACACTTCCATAACACTTGATGAATTAAATGAAAGTCTCAATAACCTCAAAAATACCTCACCTGTACCTGATGACATACCACCAATTTTCATCGAAAAACTACCTATTAGCGCGAAGGTTACTTTAGTAGAGATCTTCAACAAAATTTATTCAACCCATAAATTTCCATCTCTCTGGCGCGAAGCAATTATAATACCATTTTTAAAAGACAATAAACCAAAAAACTTATCTTCTTCGTATCAACCCATACCTCTTACTTGTAGCATCTGCAAAATAATGGAAAAGATTCTAAGCAAAAGATTAAAATCGTACTTAGAGAAGAAAAATCTCCTTACATCCATCCAAAGTGGGTACCGATCAGAACGGTCTACAATAGATAATATTATAGCAGTAGAATCTGAAATACACGAAGCTTTTATACATAAACCAAAATTAATAGCAATTTTGTTCGACATCACAAAAACATTTGACACCACGTGGACATATCACATCTTAAAAAAAAAGAAAAGTTGAAAAATAGATGGCAAATTCTTAGCCTTCATCAAAAACTTCCTGGAGAACAGAAGTATAAAAGTTAAAACAAACGGTGTCATGTCAACTAAGAAATCACTGGAAAATGGTATCCCTCAAGGGTCTGTATTAAGCCCCTTGCTGTTTTTAATAGCAATCAACAACGTATCTAACCATTTTATGCTTGATCTTGTAATATATATGAGAAGTAAAAACCTAAAATCAGCTGCATCAATATTACAAAATACACTAAATAAATTAGAAGGATGGTCTTTAGATATAGGCTTGAGATTTTCAACCGAAAAAACTAAAGTAATAATATTTGACAAAAGGAAAATACAACACCACTTTAATTTAAAACTAAACGGAAATACTCTTATAACAATCAACGAAATCAAATTTTTGGGAATGACATTCGACTCTCAACTCAAATGGACATCGCACATAAATGAACTAATTAAATCATGCCAACAGAGAATAAATCTTCTAAAAGTTCTTTCCAATCACAAATGGGGCGCAGACACAACTATTCTTCTACGATTATATCAAGCTCTAATTAGAAGCAAACTAGATTACGGATGTATATGCTACGAAACTGCTACTAAAAGTCAATTGAACAAACTGGACATCATCCAATCCACAGCATTACGTATAGTTTTCGGAGCTTTCAGAACCACGCCAATTAGCAGCCTTCAAGTCCTAGCAGGAGAACCGCCATTAGCTCTCAGAAGACAATATTTTTCGATGTGTTGTGCTACTAAATATCTCAGTGCAAATGAAAACCCGTTTATAACAAGCCTAATAAGGCGCAACCCTCCAAATCTGTAGAAGTTATTGCCCTAGAAACTTACCTTTCAATGAAATAATAAATCGATTTGAATTCGATATACATCAATTGAGAGCCACTTCTACAAATAGATGCCAGTATCCTCCCTGGAAAGTTCAAATACCAAAAGTAGATTTGACCTTACTTAACTATCCCAAACAATCACACAATCCTTCTGAAATAAAACAACAATTCCAGCCTACCATCTCCAGATACCCTGATTTTAAACTAATTTTTACTGATGCCCCTAAAAGCAGTAATGGTGTAGCTGCTGCAGCTATTTTTGAAGACAACACCTCTGTCACCCGTCTAGCCAAGAAGTGTAGCATATACACTGGAGAACTGCAAGCAATCTTCAACGCACTGAACCAATGTACCAGCAATGATATAAACTTTCTTATTATATCAAATTCTTTGAGTGCCTTAAATGGAGTCAAGCAGATGTATCCTATTCATGCCAATTTAGCACTAATAAAAGACATGTTATACATTGCCCAAACACGTGGTAAAAACATAAAATTTTTATGGGTACCATGCCATGTTGGAATAAAGGGTAATGAAGCAGCTGATAAAGCAGCAACAGAAACCATCAATAACATGACAATTCCTATTATGCAAAACATACGAATCTCAGATCAAAAAACATTAATAAAAAGTTATATTAACAAAACCTGGCAAGTAAAATGGGACCAAACAGAAGCAAAATTAAAAATTATCAAACCAGATGTTACTTCTGCTTTACTACCGCTCCCAGCTCAAAGACATAACCAAGTAATTATTAACAGACTGCGGCTAGGCCATACAAAATTCACACATGGATACATCATCTCCAAGGACCCTCAGCCGATTTGCCACACCTGTCAAATACCAATTTCAGTGCAACACATAATGATAGACTGTCCAGTGTACTGAACAGCAAGATCGACAGCAAAAATAAAACACAATTTAAAAGAAACTCTAAAAGAAGACATCAGTAATACAATACATTTTATCAAAAATTGTCAACTGTATAACAAACTGTAACAAAACACAATTTTGTATTTATTTTTGTATTTTTCAAAACTGTTATGTAAATTTTAATAACATACTAATGATATACCATGCGGTAAAAAAAAATTATAAATTTGAGTTATAGGTAACGGATTTTAACAAGAGCTATGACCTTGTAAATAATAGGAAAACTTGTGTACTGCATCGGCATGACTCATAGCTCTTGTCAAAATCCATTACCTCTAATTACAATAAATAATAATTTTAGGTTAGAAGGTAATAGTTATACCTTCCTAAAACCCAAAAGTGTATACAGAATTGTTAACAATTTTAAACAAAGTGAAGGCAAATTGGATAGAAACCGCATATAGCTTAAAGATTATACCAAATATGCTATTCGGAGGAAATTCCATGCTTTCTTTTTTAGGAACGAAATCCCAACCTTAAAGAAAGTTGAAGTTGAAATAAATTCCGATAATTCAATACCCAAAATATAACGTGTTTTATTGCGAATATTAGAAGAAATGAACATTAAATATATGAAACGAAGCAGGAATAGTGTTGTTTTAGATAAAGATGAAATTGTTTTGTGGCGGAGAAATCCGAGAGTATCGTCGTGCAGGACGAAAAGTATACTATTTAGATGAACCTTGGCTAAATCAAGGTCATACTATCTCAAAGGTGTGACAAGATTTGGAAATTAAAAATCGTCGACAAGCCTTCATTGAAGAGCTTTCATTAGGTTTAAAAACACCAGTGGGTAAAGGACGGAGGCTCATAATAACACATATAGGCAGCGATTCGGGTTTTTTGAAGAACGGCTTTTTACTATTCGAATCCAAGAAAACCAACGATTACCATGAGGAAGTGGACGCTCAAAGATTCGAAGGATGGTTTTCAAATATTCTACCAAACCTTGAAGCAAATTCTGTCGTTGTTATGGACAATGCGTCATACCACAGTCGACGGTTGGAGCCATCACCAACGGCTACCTGGCGAAAAGGTAAAATAATCAACCGGCTCTCTCAAAAAAATATACTATTTGATGACAACATGTTGAAAGTACAATTATTAAACCTCGCGAGGATACATATACCCGTTTTCAAGAAATATTCAGTCAATGAAATGGCTCGTGCAAACAACATAATTGTACATCGCATCCCTCATTATTGTGAGCTGAACCCTATGAGCTTATATAGGCTCAAATAAAAAACCTAGTGGCAAGAGAAATCTTGAGTTTTAAAATGGAGGAGGTGAAGTGTTTGTTAGCTACTGCCATAGAAAATATCACACCTGAATCTTGGAAAAATTGTATAAGACACACTATGAAAGAAGAAGATAGAAAATTTCTTTGTCTCGTATGTTTTGTACAAAATTATGGAATTTGAAAGTCGTTTTTTGAGAAATGTTTTTTTGTGATAAGAAGTATTCACTTTTAAAGTTAAATATAAGTCTCATATAATATATTAAGATTCATTTTTAAAATTCACTGCAACAGTGTGAACGATACGCTACTGAATGCTCCGCTAGTAAATCAATGAGCAATTTATCTCTCTTTATATTATGACAACGTTGATCTACTATTCCTTTTTACCGGTCCTAGAATACGATGTTGTCATGTATGACTTTTACAAAGAATATTATCGTACTTTAGATGTTTTCTATATATAAATATTGTATATAAATATAATATTATACATACATATTGATGTTATTAAATACATTTTATTAGATACCTTAACAAAAACAAAACTATTATTAATATGATAATTTTGCTGGATGTCAATGATTAAATTATAAATTGCTAGAATATCTATCATCACAAACTGGCAACGATGTTGTCGTATTATCACATTAACTGTTCGGAGAATTTACTGCCTACAAATTTGATTCTCAAGTATACTTGAAGAATAGATTAAATTATTTCAAATGTACTAAATTATTAATCTCTAAAAATTTTAATTACAGTTCTGTCGTAGCTTGTCACAAATTTATCAATTTGAGTTCAGGTTTCCGTTTAAAATATAGCGATGGCCTGCTGACAAACTTCAGAGTGGGCATTCTGATTGTTATTTATTCTGTGTTTCAAGTATTAAATTCATAATATTAACGTCTCTTGTATATTAATATTTTTGTTACAGTACCAAATAATTTGCCAAAAAACTTATACACAAAATGCAGCATTTTATAAATCGAAGCAAATTGTTATTTAATAAGACTGTTGAAAAATAACAACATATATTTCACTGTTTAATATTGTATACTGTGAATAACCGTAAAAAATTACCAATTACCGTAACTCAAAAAATCCACTAATAACCATTCTTAGTTAAAAAATCGAAACATTATTTTCGTAATTACTATGCAAACATCAAACATATTAATTATTACGTTTTTTGTAAGATTAATTATGTTTTTATAATTTTATATTACAGCCTAGCACTTAGCACTTTCAACATTCGCTTGTTGACGGTTGAGTTGAGGTTATGTTCTATTTATTTTATTAGTTTATGGGACTTGGAATTTATAGACGTAGACTTTGATCTTGCCTTTTTGATCAATAAAAGTCTATTTGTGCATATTTTAACCATTAGAAGTGTTCAGTACGCTTGTTTCATATACAATGGCTTTAAGAAATGTTTTTAAAACCAATATGGTGAAAAGTGGTACGAGGTATTTTAGCCAGGAAGCTAGTTTTGTATCTGTAACTGTAAATGATAAAAATGGAGTAGCTACACTGGAAATGCAGAGACCACCGGTAAATGGTATAAATTATGAACTTCTCAGCCAGCTGTCTTCTACTTTAACGGATCTCGAGAAAAACAAATCAAGAGGTCTTATTTTGACCTCAAAAAATGATGGTGTTTTCAGTGCAGGATTAGATATCTTGGACATATATAAACCCGATCAAGAAAGGATTAAATTATTTTGGACTGCTCTACAAGATACATGGATTAAACTATATGGTTCTTCTTATCCAACAGTAGCCCTAATAAATGGTCATTCGCCTGCAGGCGGTTGTCTTTTGGCATTGTGTTGTGAGTACAGAGTGATGTTTAAGAACCGCACCATAGGATTGAATGAAACACAGCTTGGTATCGTGGCTCCCAAATGGGTCATAGATAGTTTAAAAAATGTGGTTGGAACTAGAAAAGCAGAATTAGCGTTAACTGCTGGTGTAATGTATACAACTGAAGAAGCTCTTAATATTGGTTTAATTGATGAAATAATTGAAAATAAAACAGAAGGAATGGCTCGATCAGAAGCATTTATATCCAGATTTGCCAAAATATCACCTATTGCTAGAGGTCTTTCTAAGAAATATGTTCGAGGTAACACTATTGAAGATATGGTCAAAAATAGGAAAGAAGATTTAGACAACTTTGTAATGTTTGCTAATCTACCTGCAGTTCAAGAAGGCTTGGGACTTTATATACAAAGTTTAAAGAAGAAGTCAAAGGCATAATATTATTAAATTGTATTCTTTTATATATTAGACTGAAGTTGTAATATTGAAATATTTTGTACACGACATTGAAATATTTTAATGTAGTTTTGCTTTACTGTGTTTGCTTTTAACTGTGAGCCACCTTTAGTTATTTTAAAAGTGTTTTTATTCTTTTTGGTTAAAGTTCCCTCTTAAGTTTGCTTTTGATGTAAGTATCAATGGAGCAATTTATAAGTTTTTTTTATATGTTCCAGCACTTTTACAAATATGTCCGCACCATCCATCCACTTTTAGATGCAAACCCCACTGCACCAGGTACCGATCCAAACATAAAAGTATTCTTCGTATATATACACACCCTCGGAAATATATCCACAGGAGGGACAGTTAAACCAGTCTCTGTAATAATAGCGCAGAACCTTACTAAGTTTCCTCTTTCAGCAGACACACATTGGTCAACTTGCTTTGGCCAACTCTGACAAATAATTTTTGGAGTCTGCAACATTGTTGTTATTCTTATTTCGTCAGGGTTTACTATTCAATCCGGAGAAAATTGATATTTTGTTTGAACCACTGCATAATTTTCAAAAAATACTCTAACATTTGCTGGATTAAAGACATATATTATGTCCTAGAAATACTAACGTTTTCGGGTTTCTTGTAAGAAAAATTAGGATGACGTTTCATAAATCCTCTCATCTATTCCTTGCCTGCTTGCTGAAACGCATTGCTGAAGATTTGAAAAATACTTTTCCAATTCAGCTTCTTCTGTTGCTGAGAAGACTTTTCTAGGTGCGTATTTTTACGTATGTGAAGAATCGTCTTCACTAAGCAATTCATTTGCTGAACCATCAAATAGTAAATGTGTGGTTTTAATCCTCAATTTTTTCACATGCCTATGAAGAGTGGTTTTAGATATGTTGAACAAGCGGCATTTCTAATTGTTGTTATATTTTTAATTACTTCCCATACGGCTTTCTTTACATCTGTAGCATTTATATCTGCACGATTTGTTTTTCTTTTTTAATTTCGCACCATTCTGCAAAAAAAAAGAAAAATTTGTATATTTTTAGTAGATCTTCAACTTAATAAATGGGGCTGGTTAGTACAGTGTACAAAACATGGGGCAGTTTGCTACACTGTACCAATCTGCTCCCGTCTATTTGGTCCAATCTGCCCCAGCCGACCCTGGCGTCTAAAAAATTAAGTCGCCAGTTGACAATGCACTATATTATATACTTAAATATCTCATTTAACCTATAAACGTCTTAGATTATTACATTAAATCACAAATAGCAACATCATTATTTTGCGGACTATATTATCATACGCTGAAATGTTGAAAAACTTGCTTTTTTCGCCTAAAATATTCAGTTGACCACAAAATGTTTAAATGCGCTCGTTATGATGTTTGTCTTCACGTCGACTGACAGCGCGCCCTCACTGAAATACCAGAAATAGTGGATTGCATTAAGACGGTAAATTCGAATTGTTCCATGGTGCCCCCACGTACCAATCCACCCCACTCTACCCTAAGCATCAATTTGTTATATCTGTGTATTCCTTTACTAATTTGATAGGGTTTCTGTATCTTTCAATTATTAAAATATCTGATTTCTAACTAGTTATCTTGTGGAGATTTCCAGGTATATTGTCGCATGGATAGCTAGTAGATGTTCTTAATAATGTAGTTGTTTTGTTAGTAAAATTGTATTGTAATCCCCCATTTTTCATTTCTAGTCCCATGTTCGTAGTCTACATATTTATCGTATTTCCCTTTTCTAATTTCAGCACTAAATTCATAATATTAACGTCTCTTGTATATTAATATTTTATGATCTTTATATAAAATGCAGCAATTATAAATCGAAACAAATTGTTATTTAATGCGACGTTTATAAATAATAACATATATTTCACTGTTTAATATTGTTTACTGTCAATAACCGTAAAAATTACCAATTACCGTAAGTGAAAAAATCCACTAATAACCTTTCTTAGTTAAAAAATCGAAACATTATTTTCGTAATTACTATTTTATAGAATTTCTGTTATTGACAAAAACTGCAAAAATACTAATTATTACGTTTTTTGTAAGCTTCAATTATGTTTTTATAATTTTATATTACAGCCTAGTAGCACTTTCAACATTCGCTTGTTGACGTTTGAGTTGAGGTTATGTTCTATTTATTTATTGGACTTGGAACTTATAGACGTAGACTTTGATCTTGTCTTTTCGATCAATAAAGGTCTATTTGGGCATATTTTAACCATTAGAAGTGTTTAGTACGCTTGTTTCATATACAATGGCTTTAAGAAAAGTTTTTAAAACCAATATAGTGAAAAGTGGTATGAGATATTTTAGCAAGGAAGCTAGTTTTGTATCTGTAACTGTAAATGATAAAAACGGAGTAGCTACACTGGAAATGCAGAGACCACCGGTAAATAGTTTAAATTATGAACTTCTCAGCCAACTGTCTTCTACTTTAACGGATCTCGAGAAAAACAAATCAAGAGGTCTTATTTTGACCTCAAAAAATGATGGTGTTTTCAGTGCAGGATTAGATATCATGGAAATGTATAAACCCGATCAAGAAAGGATTAAATTATTTTGGACTGCTCTACAAGATACATGGATAAAACTATATGGTTCTTCTTATCCAACAGTAGCCCTAATAAATGGTCATTCGCCTGCAGGCGGTTGTCTTTTAGCATTGTCTTGTGAGTACAGAGTGATGTTTAAGAACCGCACCATAGGATTGAATGAAACACAGCTTGGTATCGTGGCTCCCAAATGGTTCATAGATAGTTTAAAAAATGTGGTTGGATTTAGAAAAGCAGAATTAGCGTTAACTGCTGGTGTAATGTATACAACCGAAGAAGCTCTTAATATTGGGTTAATCGATGAAATAATTGAAAATAAAACAGAAGGAATGGCTAGATCAGAAGCATTTATATCCAGATTTGCCAAAATATCACCTGTTGCTAGAGGTCTTTCTAAGAAATATGTTCGAGGTAACACTATTGAAGATATGGTCAAAAATAGGAAAGAAGATTTAGACAACTTTGTAATGTTTGCTAATCAACCTGCAGTTCAAGAAGGCTTGGGACTTTATATACAAAGTTTAAAGAAGAAGTCAAAGGCATAATATTAAATTATATTCTTTTACATTTAGACTGAAGTTGTAATGTTAAAATATTTTGTACAATACATTGAAATATTTTAATGTAGTTTTGCTTTACTGTGTTTGCTTTTAACTGTGAGCCACTTTTAGTTGTTTTAAAAGTCTTTTTCTTCTTTTTGGTTAAAGTTCCCTCTTAGGTTTGCTTTTGATGTAACAAACAATTGATTATCATTTTTATAAAAGACAAAGGAGCTATTTTAATGTCCTTTCTGTACTGTTCTCCCAGAGTCTAGAATTATTGAAAATGTGCCCTTAGAGATTTTTTGTGCCCTGTAATTCTGTATATTCATTAATTATATTCTACTATCTATTTAAATGCAGATTTGTTTATTCTACAGTTGTAAACAAAGTTTTATATTACATTTTACAATAAATTATACAGAATAAAATACTTTTCTTAAGTTTGCAAATAAAATATTATATATTTTATTTTATACATTTATTTATTTTTCTGTTAAAAAAATGTACATTTATAATATATTTTTATTATTAAAATAACTTTAGGTTAAATGCCACATACACCCCTCGCTGGTGCCAAGACAAAATCTTGTGAACTGCTCAGGAGTGCCAGAACTTTGTTTTATTTATTATTACAGAAAAATTTTAAAGTACCATTTGACTTCCCATGGGATATTAGTAGATTAAAACTTGTTTATCCAACTGTGTGGACATCATACCTACTTCTTTAATCAAATACAAAACCAATGTCCACCCAAGTGAGTGGACAATAAAATATAGCTGGGTAAAAAATATTATTTATTTATTAGAGTTATGAACATTTTCAAAACACTTAAAATATAAAAATGGTTTATCTGAATACATATTAAAAAAAGTGCTGACTTTCTAGGATTTAGTTTTGGCTATTGTTCTACCAGAAACAACTAAAATATTCTTATAGCAATATTTGCAGTTCTTTTAATTTTATATGTATAACCACTTTGATCACAAAATTTAAAAAGCTTTATATCATATTTATGTGATTTTCCTGGGATATATTGTTTAAGTCTACCAAGAAACGGTACCATCGACTCATCAATTACTAAATTTTCAGCAGGTATTTTGATATTTTGAAAACTTTCTTGTATCAAAAAGAGTCTTGCATAATCTGTCCTCTCTTCGATATCCTCGCCAAAATCTTAAATTAATTCCTGGTCAAAAATGAACACATTTTATTTTTATATATTCTATAATTTTTTTACTAATACAACTGAATCAAGGGCATATATACCAGTCACATCCATATTCTAAGATCCAAGAATATTTTCATTTCTTGGACATTTATGTTTTTCTATTCTTTATACCTACTGCTTCTTACCATATTATTTTGTAAAAACTGTTGAGGATTTTTGTGTGTTTCTTTTACCATCAGTTCATTTACATCCTCCAATAAAAATAACTGAAAATAATACATCACTTTTGCCGTTAAGCAAAATATGTATTTTTTCTCTCTTGTTAAAGAATTTTTTTATTGTAATATATAAGTTCGCTGCACTGTTCATTACTGGCATTACCAATAACATCCTTAGTTTCAGATAGATCAGTGTCTTGATCAATGTGGTTATTGTCATTTATTCTTTCAATTGTTTCAATGTGTTCATCACTTTCTGATGAATAATATTGGTCAGAGTCACTGGCTAAAAACTCACTCCCTAACTCTTGAAATGGCCCTACATTGTAATTTAGTAACTAAATAAACCACATATGTATTTAACTACATACTATTTCTCAATTTGAATCTAACAGATGTCTTCTCACTAATTTAATTACTAAACCATTGTTGTACAGTCAATTGGGTGGAAACAAGCAAAAATTTGAGTTTTTTCCACCCATTTG